TATATATATGTATGTGTACAAAAAGATGGTAATTTAGGTGATTGCTGGCTTTTCTCCAGCTGCAAAGTTGAATTGGAGTTAAGGGAAACGGAGTTAAACTTTTGAACAGAGTTCTGTCTCTATTCAGTTAATATTAATTTTCCTTTCCCCCTTCAGAATTGTGATCTGTCAGGTTGTGACCTACAAGAAGCAAATTTGAGGGGATCTAATGTGAAAGGAGCCATCTTTGAGGAGATGCTGACACCCCTGCACATGTCCCAGAGTGTCAGATAGGGGCCAGAACATGCTGAAGAGGAAGAAATCCAACCATTCATTGTGACTTTCTTCACCTCCTCCCCTTCCTGAGTTAAAGTTCTGGTTATTAGCCACCTTACATTTGCAGTAGTGCCTAGGTAAACTTTTTGATCACTTTTGGGGAGGGGATTTTTGTTTTCAGAGGTACCAGCAGAGAGTTTGTACCTCTGTGAGCAGAGTGAGGAAGTGGGCTGGTGCTGAAACCAGAGAGTGTGGCCGGTTTTGGGGGGGAAAGGGTTCAATGGTTTCATTGTTTAGCATTGCCTCACTTTGGAATGCATTTTAATTTATAAAGCACAATATATGCAATTCTATTTATTAAATCTGTAGCTGCAATATGAATAGAAGATGTTACTCCTGTACAGTAGCAACCAAGTTGAGGTTTACAGGTGTATTTCCAGTCTGTGTCCATGCCAGGGGCGGCTCGATGTCCCCGGGGGTGCTCAGGTCTCTGCTGGGGTGGAAGCTGATGGGAACATCCCTGCTCAGAAATTGGATGTCTTTAATTAATCCTCTCCAAACCAGTGTGGAGATTCACTGTCAATCACAGCTGGTGAGAATAATCCTGCTTTCACATGTCCTGAGCACTCCAGGCTGGAGTTCCTCAGAGTTTTCACCCTTAGTGGTGAATACAGTGCAGAGAGGAAAGCACAGAGCTGTCACCAAAGCAGAGAGAGGGCAGAGGGGCCCCAGCTTGTTCTCCAGCCTCCCCTCATGCCCTCAGCAGGTGAATCTTTCCCTGTTTCCCCTCCATGTACTATGCAAAAACACTCCCTGAAAGCTCCCTGGGCATCATCCTTTTCCCAGCTGGATCTCCCTGTTCCGTTTGGGCTGCTTCAGGTGGCTGTAAAAGCATCTTGCCTGGGCCAGGTGCCCTCCTTGCCCTCCCACACCTGCTGGAAGCAACTGGAGCTGCTTATGGGGGGAGTTGTGCAGGGCAGAGGCCTCAGCACCCCTGGATGTGGACAAGGAGCTGCTTCCCTTGAGGATCCATGGAGTTCTCAGCTCATACCACCCTTATTTTACACACAGACCTGTTTCTTTTAATTCTTCTATGTCCACCTCCCCTTTCCCTTCTGTGACCATTTTGGGGTGTTCACTGGCTTTTCCAGGGTCTGAATTTCAGCGGAGCTGACCTTTCCCGCCTGGATCTTCGCTACATCAACTTCAAGATGGCCAATCTGAGCCGCTGCAACCTGGCCCACGCCAACCTGTGCTGTGCCAACCTGGAGAGAGCTGACCTCTCTGGATCCGTGCTGGATGTAAGGATGCTGCAGCCTGGGCTGCCCTGCACTTGTCTCTAGAAACAGGAATTGGAACAAAAAAAAATCAGTTTCCCAATATTTTCTGTGATTGTTCTACTCGCAGTGCTTGCTCATAGTAACAGGGGGGTTGTGCTTTGGTGGGGGTTCAGTTGCAATTCTAGAATTTAAATCTGTGTTCTGCTGATTTTTGGTATTTATCTTCACACCCTCATGACTCACATCCTGTCCCTGCCAGTGTGCAAACCTGCAGGGGGTGAAGATGTTGTGTTCCAACGCAGAAGGAGCATCCCTGAAAGGCTGCAACTTTGAAGATCCCTCAGGCATTAAAGCTAATTTGGAAGGTAAGTTTCTGCCTGTTAATTATTCCCTGGAAACAGCCCTGTGCCTGTACATTCATGTAGCAGAAGTTCACTGGCCTGCTTCTGCCAAATAATCATGAAATTCCCAATTCTGCCATGACCTCTCCCAGCTTCCCCAGCTCTTAGGAAGCATCACCTGGAGCTGCTGCGTGTCTGGGTTTCCCTCCCAGCCCTCACTGTGGGTGTGTTGCAGGTGCCAACCTGAAGGGTGTGGACATGGAGGGCAGTCAGATGACAGGGATTAACCTCCGAGTGGCCACGCTGAAAAACGCCAAACTAAAGAACTGCAACCTCAGAGGAGCCACGCTGGCAGGGACTGACTTGGAGGTGAGTTAGCATTCATTTCCTGTACATATTTTATATATATGTATGTGTAC